TTGGAAAAGCCTCTTTCCTGCTTCTTATGTACCTGAAATACAGTTAACTCCACTGCTGCAAACTATTTCTCAAAATTTGTTGTCCTTGTAAAAAGGGTCAAGCTTTTCTGCAGAGTTATATTCGGTATACAGTAGCCCGAATCTGTGAACAGCTAAAATAAACCCAACCTTTCCCAGACACTCCCTGAATGAGGAATTCCTGACTGTGTGCAAATATAAAATAAAGTGGAATTGGACTACTCAGGAGAAATATAGATACGCTGCTCAGACACATAGGGATGAAATTACGAAAGCCAAAGTTGGGCTGGATTGGAAACTGGTAGTGGGGGGTAAAAGCCACAAGGACTTCTGCAGGCTACATTGGCAGCAAAAAGAAGATTAAGGAAAGCGAGGGCAGCTGCCCAATGGATGGAGGACCGGGCAATAAAAACATACAGGGAAGGCTAATTTACTCTGTGTCTCTTTTGCCTCAGTCCTTCCTGACAAGGTCTACTGTCAGCCCTCCCAGGTCTCTGCCACTGCACATTCATGTGGATGAAGGACTACCTCAGGGTTGAGAAAGATAAAGTTGGAGACAACGAAGAGCAAAATGGACATACAGAATTCCTCAGTCCGCGAGAAGAATATGGAGCAAGTCACTGTGGAAGCCACCTCTAGGTACATGAAGAAAGTGACTGGGAACAGCCACCATTGATTGAATTATGCGTAATCACTCCCTACAACAAAATGACTGGTTTGGTGGATGAGAGGAGAGCAGTGGATGTCATTTACCTTGACTTTAACAAGGCTTTCAACACGGGTCCCCCATAACATCTTTGTAACCAAACAAGCGAGAAACAGACTGGACACATGGACTGCAAGGTCCTGCTAGACTACCAGGCTTAAAGCACAGTGGTCACAGACCTGACATCCAGCAGGTGACCCGTTACTAGCAGTGCTCCTCAGACACCTTTACAGTGACTGATACAGCTTAGTATCTTCCTGAAGCTGGATGATGGGACAGAACACACTTTCAGCAAGCCTGCAGATGACACCAAATTGGGAGAAGTGGCTGATAAATGGGAGGTAATTCAGAGGGATCCTTACAGGCTGGAGAAAGAGGCTGACGTGTTCAGTGAACACAAAAGTGCTGCTGCTGGGATGAAGTAACCCCATGCAGCAGTACGGGCTGGGGCTGGGCTGGTCAGAAAGCAGCTTTGCACAAGACAGCCTAGGGGCCCTGTTGGACAACAGCTTGCATATGAGTCAGCAGGGTGGCCTTGTGGCAACACAGGCTACCAGACACTAGGCTGCACAAGTAAGAGTTTACCCAGCAGGTTGAAGAAAATTATTATTTCTATCTGTGACTTAGGATACTGCACTGGACGTACAGTTTGGGGATCCTCAGTACAAGGTACTGACGCATTGCAGCAAGTCCTAAAGAGCCACCAAGATGAACTGGCTCTGAAGCACACAACGTACAGGGAGAAGCAAACAGAAACGGTATTGTTCAGCCTCAAGGAGGAGGCTGAAGTAGATCTAACTGCTGACTTCAACTGCCTGACAGGCAGCTACAAAGAAGGCAGCATCCAACTCTTCCGAGAGGTGCCCAGCAGGAGGGTGAGCGCAGTGGGGTCAAACTGCTGCAAGGGATGTTCCAGTTAGACACAAGGAAAACATTCTTCATAGGAAGGGTAGTCAAACACTGGATCCGGCTGCCTGGAAAGCAACCTGCAACCATTACACTTGAAAATGTATTACTTCAGTTACTTTTACTTACTTCTTAACTCTAAACAATCCTCTTGGTTAGGTGCCAGATTTTTCTTGAACAAATGTTCTTTTAGCCCAATGTACTAGTCACAGTAGGCATTTCTGGTTTATTATGAAGCTGGCTGCATGCTTCATTACAGAAAATTTCAGGTTTGTTTGTTTTTTTTTTAATTCACATTGTAGTGCTACTTCTCATTGCATGTCACTCACCAACTGTTTTACAGTACCTTTTCTGAAAATGTGTTCATCTTTGATTCCAGAAGTTTTTCTTAATTGACCAGTTGTCATCTTCTCCCTCACTCTAAATATAATATACATTTAGAACAACTTCTGGTCTTGGAGGATTTTTTTCTCTTTAAGGTCAATGCATAATTTATAACCACCACCATTAGCTATAATCACCTAAAAGCTATCAATTATTAGTCAGATGGCTATGTTTTATCCCGTGCACCCAATGGAGTATCAGTAACTACGGTATTCCCACATCACATCATACACTATTGCATAGTTAATGCCTTTTGATCATCTCCATATGGGAGATTTCACACATAAGTAGAAGTTATTCATCATATCCATACAGTTCCTTTGAGAAGGAAAATCAGCTGTTGCCAGAGTGCGGAAATACAGCTTTTCTGAAACACGTGGGAACAAGTGGAATGGGAAAGAAAAGCTGCACAGAAACCTGCAAGAATATTACCACTACAATTTTCTGACCAACTCAGAGAGGGGTAGGAAGAGGGAAGAAAGTGATTAAGCAGACTTTTGGTGTTTTCTAAGAAGGGTAAAAAAACCCCCCAAAACCAACAACAACAAAAAAACAAAACAGAGGACCTGTCTGTCTTGCATTGATTCTGTTTGTTTCTTTTTCCAGCTGACTATCGCGCCCTTTGCTCCCAATTAGAAGTGGTAAGATGGCATGGGTGCTAACTAGATGTATCAAAGCAGAGAGCAATGCTGTTTCTAGCTAGAACTACTACTGGGCATCCTTCCAGTAGTATTAGTGCAAGAGATGAACTGCTCATGAAAGGGACGCTGTGTGTAACTTGCGGCAAACTAAGGGCTCAAGGCATATATGCCAGCCTTTCGCACACCCTTTATTTGACATGTACAGCCAAAATGTTTCTCCTTCCAAGCACCTGGAAGTGTATACAAGTTAAACGCTTATGACTTTTAATAGCTCCAAGATGATGCCAATAGTTTCTCAGTACTAATTTACTATTTTCTTTTCAGCTCCTGTAACCTCGCTAAAATGGAACTGTCCACTAAAATCAGCTGTGGGATAACTCCATTTCTCTGTAGAGTCTGGCAAGCCTGGCCCTTTAGCCTCACCTCTTTATCAAGCTCCACAGAGCTACATAGTGTTTTTCAGATGAAGAAATTGGAGCAGAAAGAATATTTGTTTTTCAAAGGGCCCAGGAGGAAGCCTGCCACACTTACAGAAAACTTGATATTCTGGCTTTTTATGTTTGCTGAGCTACCAGACTACACTCCAAATATCCAGAGTTGAAGTTAAAAAAAGTCTGGTTTTAAGACATTAAGATGGTTTCAAGGCATTAAGGGTAGAAATCCATGACAACACGATAATGTTGCCAAAATTAACTCTAGCTTGCAAAAGCCGATAACAATAAAACAAGAGAAGTATTAGATTACGAAGCATCAACTATTTTTTTTTTTTAAACATAAAATACTATGAAGGCAATGTTTCCATGTAATTGAAAGTCAAGGAAAAGTTTGACATTCGCAAAGATTACAAGATTAGTTTATATTTGTGCATATAAAGAAACTATTAACAAAGTAAGTATCTATCATCCTCCAATGCTTCCGATTCTTGCTAAAGTACTGTTGAAAGATGCAAGGGACAGCAATTTTGTTTCATAACAAACCTTTCTTCTATCCTGTAGAAAGGAGCCATTTATCCCTGTATACCCCAGGTCCTCAGGTAAATGCATGTGATAACGCATTTGTAATCCATCTGTACCCCTCCTTTGTTTACTGTGTCTTTTTTTGTCATCATGCAAATTTCAGCAAATAATGTAAAAATTTACCTCCCTAAGCAAATTTCTTTGTCAGCATAGACTACCTTACCAACTCTGTTCAAGGCTTTCTGGAGGCTTCCATTCTGATTACACAAATTTACCCCAACTCATTGCTTATTCAGAAGGATGGCAAACACCATTTGATGAATGAGCGTTCTGCAACCTACTTTTGTGATTACACTTGTAAAACTATTGCAAAGTTTACTTGTAAAACACAGTAACTTTCACAGATTTTTTTTTCCTATGTACTATCATTACCTTCTAATACCTTACAAAGGTGATTAGGGAGCCAAGGGCAATCTTAGTGTAGAAGGATAGCCAGGATGACTCCTGAAACCTTTCCGGTTATTGTGCTAGAGCCAGCACTAAAAATTATCAGTCATGTACTTTCCATTGAAAATCAACGCTGAAAAAAAGAGCTGTAATGTTGATGCTATGGGTAAAACTAATCATTTTCATCACACAGCACTGAGATGTCACCTGTTCTGCAAGGCTATACAAAGGGCAACACATACTGAATTTAAGTGGCACCGCTCATTTTTCTCACGTACAGATGGACAAGATAGGTAGCTGTCACTATTTCACACTTCTCTTCCCCTGGCTACAAACAAATGTGCTAAGGACTTTACTGATACCAATACGCGAACACCAACGTCTCATTCCTCCTCAAGCCTATCATACCATCACCCAGAAATCTTAAAGATTTTAAGAGAGTATGGGAATGAAACACATCATCCCAAACACATATCAGAGGCAATTCAATTAGTGAACATATGTTTGCCTGCAACATCAAAATACTATACAGCCAAACAGCAGACATAACTTTGAAATGCCTTTATTCCTTTTACAGGGAAGCCATGCTCTTCTATCTGATTTTGTCAGATAATTTTTGCTGAGGGTGAACTTTCTATTCTTAATATTCTTCCTAACACTGTATTTGAGCTCTTTTAATCCAGAAACATGCTGGAGATTGAAAATCCCACTACTCTGAAGCCTCTCAGATTCAGAGTGCTCTTCGCAGCCCCATTACTTGGAACAACTATTCTTAGCTACTCTGACCCCCTGGAGAGTTTAAGATGTGTCCCTAAGTAAAATAGAAAGTTTCCTGGGAAGCCTCAGGAACAGACACATTTTTATTTAGAATCAATCATTTTTCCAGAACAATCACCATATACCCTTGAGGATTTTTATGGGAGGGGAGGAAGTGTTACTTACCAGTAGTCCTGTTTATTGCAGTCTTCCTCTTCCTCCAGCCTACAACAGAGTCCTTACACTAAGCGTTATGGCTCCCACCTACCAGGAAGCAAAAGAATTGTCAATCAAGGTCATTAGGGAAGTACCAGCCTGTGCACTTCCATCTCAGTTACATTTCCATAGCATGGAGACCTAAACTGCATGTGAGAATCTAGAAAAACTTCATCACCAAACTGTAACGAAGAAGAAAAAAGGAAAGTAGTTGCTTGAGGCATCAGGAGGCTGGAGAGAAGCAATGACTTGTTGATGATTTCTCTCCTTCTCCCCTGCCACACATTTCTTAAATAGGAGCCTCTGCTAAGGAAATCAGAAAGAAAAGAAAGGCTGCTATGAACAGTTACCAGAGGCCAAATGCACGCTCAAGGCATGCATCCAAATCTTTGCAGTCTAAACACTAGAACAGCTGAAACTTAATGGGGCGTAGCAAATTACACAGGAATAGGACTTCGTTGCTATTACGGACACTGACTGTTTCTGCTACGATAAGATGATGTGCTACTAGACCAAAAAACTTCAACTATCTGCAGTATTTAGCTATATTGGCTAGTGTCCTTTGAAGACAACAGATACAAAAGGACTCATGTTTCTCTATTAATGCAACTTCCAGAGGAAAGACTGTACAAAGGATCGATGCATATAATCCATCTTAAACTATTCTGTACCTGTGTATCAGTAAATTATTTAATTGCATTATATGCACATAACTTTTTTTCCAAAGGTTGTAGACAAGCATGTTTACTTACCTATTCCTTTTGTTGGAATTTATTAAAGTATCTGCTAAATTGATCTAATCTTTGTATAAGGGGGAAAAAAATACTATTCTCAGAAGTATTTGAAGAGGAGGAATGTAAAATGTATTGACTAGCACAAAACAGTGTTTTTAGGAACTGTGTGAGCTGCTGTAAGACAATTTACCTGTCTAAAATGAGGACACTTGTGAAAGTTGTCATAAGATTTCATGTCTCTAACATGCTTTTTCCAAGTATTACAACTGCTTTATCAAAAAAAAGTGGTTTTTATTTTGAGGTAAAAGTGACAGGCATCTCAGCTGCCAAACTTATTGGCATTATCACATTTGAAACTCAATCTCTGTGGAACTCAAAGGTATAAAAAGCTTAGCTACAGACAAGAGGTTGATGTGATAATACATAAGGTGATGAGAGAAAACAAGAATGAGATCATCGTTCTATTTGAGGTTCACCTTTCCCTGGTGCTAACTTTCTTGTAAAGAGTGTTTCTCTACATAAAGTTTTTGGAATTGCCTCTTTTAGGAGCTGAGAATTGAAAACAACCCACTGATCCCACAAATGATATGAAGTTTTCAAGGACAGTCACATATTACTATCATTTATAGAAACTATTCTATGAAGCCAGAAAGATCAAAAAAATTAGCTTTTTCTGTTTTAGCTCTGTACAGCATGTTACATGTAGTTGTAAGCAACCAGCAACTATAGCTGTTTAAGAAAGAGGGGTGAAATGAGAAACATTAGTAAATGAGAAAAATCATCATTATTCGACAAAATAAATCAAACCACAGAAAACATCTTGTGTGCCAAATAAAGAATCCAGAGATAAAGACAGCATGTCAGTGAAGCAGTATCTGTATGAATTATTGACTTGAGACACCCAGCAAGCTCACTACACTTAAGATGAGCATGGCCCAGACAACACCCCACTAAGGTGAGAATTTTGAAGGAATGGAGTCTCTTCTTTACAGATTGCCAAGGATGATTCCTGGAGGGTATTCTCACAGAGGTTACTCAAAATGTTACAATTTAATTTCTCTGCAAAAATGGAGTCAGATGTCTGCATCTGGGCACCTGTATTTTTCAGACAGTGCTTAAAAAACCCCCAAAATGATGGTAACACAGTTACCAACAAAATACAAGCAGGAGGAAAAAAAAAATCATGGCAAAGGAACATTAGAAAGTGTATTAAATGGGGAAGGAAACAAGCATTTAGCTTATGTAAGACCAGAATAAAAACAGGAGCAGTACCTGTTTTTCCTGCCATTCAAAACACCCAACACCCCTAAGAAAATGGAGAACCTTTGCACGTGGAATTAGCCAGGACAACTGAACAGGAGTTGAAGGTTCCCAGTTTGAAGCCAGAAGTTGAATACCTCCAAAACTTCAAGGTTGAATAAAACATTTCTCATTAAGCAGGAAGCCCAGCAGCTTAAAAAAAATGCCCTCAGGGCACTAAAGATTTAACCCGCACTATGTGTTCAAAAATCTTGACCCAGTAGGTACTATATGAGAATCACTGGAAAAGCACACAAGAAAACCCTGCAGGCAAACACCTAACCAGTGCCTGTAACAGTTGCTTTAAACACTACTCCACTCTCCCCCACCCCCATCCCAGCCAATATACAATTATTTACAGTAACTGAATAAGCGTTTCTTCACACAGATGTGTTGACCCAGGAAGACAAGCTTGTAAGTGGGAAATACTGCTGTTCTTCACCCTGACAGATTGCACCTTGCCACTACTCAGTATCTATCTTATCAAATGCTCTCTGAACACATTTGTAAACCATCAGGCTGCCAAAAGCCCTTCAACAGGTATTTAACGCTACAATGACTTTCCAGGATGGCGATATCACTTGCTTCTGTTTGATGTCATGTTTCTGTCAAAATCGAAAGAAAAGAGAGCCCTTAAATTCCCAATCCACAGCTGACCTTTCTGCCTCAGAGAATTAATACTCTTCACGTTGCTCAGTCGTATCTTCTGTACTTTCCCTGTCACTGATTCACCTCATCATCCAGAAAGACAATTTTCCTTAAGAGTGACACTTTTCCATTCACAATAACAGGCATTCTTCTCAACTGCTCTTGAGCAGCACAAGCATCTTGCCGTCTTCTCACAACTGTCTTATTTTTACCTAGTACCACAGCTACAGTTAGGATTTTTCTCAGTAACTGCCTTCTTCACCTTCTCCCTTTTCTTCTTCTCAAAACTGCACATAACTTACACATCTTTTCTCAGTTATCTTCTTCCGTCATGTTATTAACACTTCTTCTGTTACTTCCATTCCTAGACCTTTCTGTGCACCATGCCAGCTACCATCACACCTCAACCTTTCCTCTTTGATTCTCACCCAGGCCTTAAGCTGTCAACTTTATAATCTATTTAGTTTCTCTCTTCTGTTTTCATATCTAAAAAGTCCAATTCTTGGCCACACCACTGCCTGTTTCTTTCTTTAATCAAAGTTCCCATTAACTGGCATCACTGCATTTCTTACTTGCCCGTTTCAGTTTTCAGCCCCTTTGCACAATGTTAACAAAAAGCATACACACACATTGACAGTTGTCTAGTATCACTCCACATCTTGAAGGAAGGCATTTCTGTACAGATGTTTTCAGACAGAAGCAGCACATAAAAGTGAACTTTTGTGAAGCAGTATTTGTCTCTCAATATTCAAACAGAAGGTCTTAAGTTTTCTGTTCTTTGAATTTTGCTTTCTTGTAGCTACATTCTGGTTTAAAGTTAACTTGGAGTGAAAGAAGCCCCTTAGAGCCTTAACCTCCAAAATACTACCGTGAGACAGCATCTCACTCACTTCAGTCCTTACTGGAATGAACACCAGTTTCCATCCATGTTTAATAAAAAAACCCCTATTGTCTGAGAAAGCCTGTTTGCTTCATAACTACATCAGTAATTATAACATAGAGGAGTTTTACCAGGAATGACACCACCAGAAAAGCCTGAACTGAGTAAAACGCTATCGAGAATGTTCAATAGCTCTGCAGCAGAGGGGACAACTAGCATTTCAGAAAGCATTTTTGCTTTTGTTAATGCAAGCAAAGTCTGTAAGATAAGCAAGCAGTGATTTGCTTAAAATACAGTGACTCAAGCCATCAAGAATCATGTTTGAAAACGCTGAAAGGAAATAATGATTCCAGCTTCTACTGATAGAAAGCCCACTACATGCAGCTCTCCAAAAAAAGGGAAAAAAAAAGCGCACAAAAGTTCCGTGTCTCACTGGGATACAATCATTAGGGGACTAAACAAAACTTCCACAAAACTTTCCAGTCAACAAGCGGCTGTGTGGTGCTCAGTTGCTGGCTGAGGTTAAACCATATCAGAAATGAACATCTAACACCTGAAGTTACTCAGAATTAAGCATCTGAAGACTTTTGGAGTCAACAGAAGTAACATGAAAAACTGTATTAGGATCTTCGGGGGCAGGGGAGGAGGCTGAGGTTACCATATCAGAAATGAACATCTAACACCTGAAGTTACTCAGAATTAAGCATCTGAAGACTTTTGGAGTCAACAGAAGTAACATGAAAAACTGTATTAGGATCTTCGGGGGCAGGGGAGGATGAATTCAGAGGCAAACAAAACACAAAGCATTTGAAAATGCCTGTGTAAATTTTTCTAGGAAATTACCACAAGGACAATGTCTCTAAAAGAAGTTTCAAAAACCTATTTTACTATTGAAAGGGCTCTCTTGGGCTTATGAAAAAAGAAGAAAAATATTTTTTAATTTAGAGCAACAGTATTAGTTATTGCAGTACTGTATAGAACAAACACAACAGAGTGGAAACCAAGGACGGATAATACAGGTCAAATTTTAAATTTTCAATACTTCCAGTGAGGCCAAGGACACAAATATGCTATCTAAACCTTATTAATATTACCTTGTCTTAACAAGCTAGCACTTATCTAAGCTGTGACAAGAAATGACAAGGTGCTTACTCTGTCCCAAATGCAAATTCCAACTAATCTTATGAATTTTAATTTGCATTTGCAGTAAGCTAAGCATGTGGACAAGAGCAGTTACAATTTATTCAGCTGACACTCACCTCGCTACTATTAGATCACATATCCCCACATCTTGGAAAGACAAAGTAGATCTGATTACAGAAGGATTCAAAATGGTTTGAGTGTAACAAATACTCAACATTGTTAGCAAATAATCAGCAAGATTTAAGTGCAGATCTAAGACACTTTCATACACGCTTCCATGGATACTTCATGAAACAATTCCCTCCTCCGCTAGAAAAGCTATGCTTTAAGATCATATGTGGTTAAGTAGAGCTGCTGATGAGAAATATTCTTACTGTGAAAGGAACAGAAGAATATGCTGTGAGGAAGAAAGCCAGCCAAGAAAGGAAAGTAATTTCTTGGATTATCATCTGAAAGAAATGGACAATTGTAGATCCAAGACAAGACAAGGGAAGAATTAAAGACAGGATGATTAACTTAGCACCATTCAACTTGAAAAGCAAACATACATTTTCATCTAGACACTGTAGTCCTATTACAGGACTGCTAAAATTAAAAGATCATAGACAATTTTTTTTTTTCCAGTTCATTTAGTACACTTACCAGCATTTGCTGTATAGAGAATTTCATTGATGGGTCAGTTGTACTTCCTCTCTAAAGTGCTTTGAGGGGAGCTCAAGTGCATCCTCTTCCTCAATCTTTGAAGTGTTTACCTGTACCACCAGCTTTGAAAGTAAAAGGCAACAGGCAGGCAATGCAGAGACAGGAATGAGGCTGAGTACAATATTATGTTACGCCAAAAATATTTTACTGTTGCTCTTCAACTCTTACAGGGACACAAAGTCTTTTCTTTTTTTTTTTTTAAACTGAGACTTTAGATACTATTTAAAATTGACATTTTGGAATTAAGGTAGCAATATATCAGTTCACAAGAATATAAGAACAGATAATCTGAAGTCATATACATTATATACACATATACATAAAACAGAGGATTCTTAATGAATAAACTTATTGGTAACAAGAAGCAAATGGAAAACTCCCAATATTAAATAAAACAGAATCACTAATCACTACTAAGAACTAACAGGAGCACATTATAATAGGAATGTTGACAAGTGTGGAATTATGAAAAATAATTAATTATGTCTGTATAAACACATCAGAGTAAAAAGTATTCAAACAGTGGTGGAAATACTACAGGTGAAGACTAAGACTAGCAAATATTTGTCCACAATTTGGGGGGGGAGGGGTGGAGGCGGGAAGGAAGAAGTATTTAGTGGACAAAAAGTGAGATTTATTCAACATTTACATCAACTATTTTATACTCCAAAAGTGACTATAAAAAGATAATGCTACTCTACAGTCTGTTAAAATTATTAATAAAGTTATTTCCAAAAAATTAAACCTGCAGGATGAAGTGTTTCACACACGTATTAAAAAGAACAGGCAAGGAGCTGATTTTCACTGCTTCTGTTTATGTTACTCATCTTCATGTTTAAAGGACAAGCGTGCTGCAAAAGCATGAGAATGAGGTTGTTTCTGAGCTGATGACTGCAACTATGGAAATTTCCACCATCCTTAAGCGTTAGGAAGCTCTCTGAGCACTTGGCTTTCGTTCTATATATTATAGGTCTGCTAACCTAGCAAAAGTAACCTGCTACTTATATAACCTAGAACTTAAAGAAAATAAGGAAAATAGATTTAATTTAAAAAAAAAGTCAAACTGGCAGACAGTCAGGCTGCACAATACTAGAGGATCTGAATATGACTATGCAAGAGCAAAATACTGGGAATTAGTCAGTTTAGTCTCCATCTCTTCTCTATAAGGAAGAGATAGAAAGAAAAAGGTAGTGGTTGTTGCTTCTCCTACCTTCTCCAACTGTTGATTTTTGGGTTTTGAGGGAGTTGGGGTTTTTTTGTTGTTTAAAGTTAAATATAGTTTTAAAATTTTCATGAATAAACTCTTAACATAGGTTTAAGAATTTTTTTTCTTGACCATGGAAGTGTAGAAACAAAAGTATTATAAACAGTGATAAAACTAATCTTGTACTTCCACATGCAACTAGCAAGGAGCAATTTTGGCATAATATTGAAGTGGGAACATTTCATAGTTTCTGGGGAAATACAGCACAGAATAAAGCAGATGCCTTGACTAGAGGGGAAAGGATTTTATTGTGGAAAACAGTGAACTCCCTAAAATGTTAACCCTAGAGGTGAATTAAGTGAAACGTAAGAATATAGAGCTCCCTCTACTAGCTGAGAAAAAGTCACCACAAATGTTAGTATGTAAAAGAAAGTGACTACAGGCAGAAAACTATAATAGATAAAATGAACAAGAAAACTAAAGGAGAGTCATAGTTTCTATCATGTTTGTTGACTAACAAGAGGAAGTTTCCAAATCAAGCTACCAACAATATAACATGGATTATAATAATCTTGTATTTGCTACAACAGAAGCTTCAGAAGTGAAAACTACAGTGCACCAATACCATAACTTGCATTGAACACTCGTTCATGATTCAGCACCTGTTTCCCAGGCAAAAAGGCTGGAAATATGGCAAGACAAAAATTCAGTATCCTCTGCAGAGAAGCTTCAACCCTGTGTGCATCAGAAATCCAAAGTCTCTCTCGTTACGAATGTCTAGACAGTGAGTCAGGGACAGTTTTCAACACTTATCCCTCTTCCCCGATTCTTAAATTCTTGATCCATCATTATTTTCTTAATGTTCTTCCCTCTTTTTAACTGTTATTTCCTGTTTATAGATTAAGAATTGAAAACTGAGATGCAGTTAAATTCCTATGCGGCCAGGACCTGCGGTGGGAGCAGGTGAGCAAGTTGACTCAGACTGGTCATCTTTGCTTCCACTCCTACACAAGGTTCAATGCAGAACAGTAAGAATTGCAAATATCTAGGTATCTTCTCAAGCCACAGACAGTGGAAGTCTCAATCATTTCTTTTTTTTTTGGACATTAAGAACCACAGTCCGTTTATGAACTTTTTAACAATAGAGAAAAACTGTATGACACGACTATAAAAGAGGTACTTCACTTTTTCACAGATAAAACATCTGTACATTTAGCATTCCTTTTGCTAAGTCTTAATGGGGCAGGGAAGGCAACAACCACTTATTATGCTTGAAGGAAAACAATTCTACCATCGCCCTTAGGGAAGGTCAACGCCTTCATACGCACAAGCAGAGTGTCTCAAAACTTTTGGAAAGCACGGTTCTTGCTTGGCTCATTTGTTCTTGCACAGTTCTTCCTATCAGCTGCAGCTCCACTACCGAGGAGCAGCTGCAGGCCTGCCCCCTCGGAGGAGGGGAACGGTTGTCAGTAGTTTCTGCAAATGCTCGCAGTCAGTAACTGCGGCCTGTTTGTCGTCTCCCACCCTGGCCAAACAGAGCAAAGCAGGGCCGCAGGAGGAAGAGCCATGGTACTGCTCTTGAATACTCTGTGATCCCCTTGGATCCAACAAAACTTTGTGAGCCTCAAAAAGCCACGCTGAGAAACGCTTCTCTGCAAGAGTTATGATCACAACATGATCACTTGGCATGTACAGCATTAGTGACAGAGCTTTAATGGAAAGCGGACTTCAGATAGCCTTCTTGGGAAGGAAACTCATTCATAAAGGCCTAAATACACAGCACTAACTCTTACAGTTACTTCCTCAAAAACTATCTGAAAGTGATGCTGGGTTTAGTGTGGTGTTTTTGGTTTTGTTTTGTTTTTTTTAATTGGTGTGGTGTTTTTGGTTTGGTTTTTTTTTTTTTTTTTTTTTTAATTCCAAAGAAAATTCCCGTTTAAGGGACTTACCTTCTCCAGTGCCAACGAATCCACAGGCTCAAGACTGATGGAAGCCAGGGACTGCAGAGCTGATAGACTTAATCCACCTGCTAAAAAGGATCATGCTGGAGCTGGTAAGAACCACTGGCTGCACAGTCCAAGTCTAGTTTACTTAACCCAGTATGAAGTCCCTACAAAACTTTATTGTCTAGCTTCTTGGCCAGGCAAAGTCACAGAAGAAATATGAAACCAACAGCCCAGGGTGAGACCAGTCCCTAAGGAGGCACAAGACACACAAGACCAACGCATTGCTCCCCAAAGGCACTCTCGTAAGTAAGCAGAAAAAGAATATCCCACATCAAGCTATATTGCCTAATTAAGACACATACATCCCAGTCAGCAATTACATCTACTGTGAAATGGAAAATGAACTGCAAGGCTTAAATTCAACTTCTTTATACAGAAGTCGACACAAAAATTATTTGAACTTTTTTCTCCCCAGGCTGACAAGACCACAGCCACAATCTGGACATACAAACCAGCACTCCCAGTCTTCTCTGTCTCTCATTTCAGAACAATTAAAGGATCGTCATCGTTTCAGGAATTCAGAAACACCCTTTCTAAATAAAGCCCACTGCACTCACACAGTCTCGGTACAACCCTGTTCATCAGGCCAAAACAGTGTCTTAAAGCCTGGCCCCTGTTCAAGCAAGCATGTCTCCCAATCTCACAGGCAGACATCATACAGTGTTTCACGCTCTCCAAAACAAGGCCTAAGGTAACCCAAGGCTGATAGTACAAGATATTTTTCCCTTACTGTGGATTTCCAGCTCCCTTCTCTAAACAGAGAAAAACCCATCAGGACACCACACAAGACCTCTACCACAAAGGAGAGCTTCTCTTCTACGTTAATCATCCTCTCATCAACAGGACAGAAATACACATTTATCTCTAATACTGCTTCTCTGAATGCATACTCTACAGCTATCTTTTGAATACTCAGGGTATTATCAGTAAAATAGTATTTTCAGTACCTCCACATGCCCACAACATTTGTGGTTTTTTTCCTCCAATAATCCCCTTTGCCAACACTATATGCTTTGGGACTCTGAACTCTTCAACATCTGGAGGTTGGCAAGGCTTGCTTAAGAAGTTACTTTCTCTCTACATCACTGCAATAGCTTCATCAGAAATCATCACCACTTCAAAACAGTCAACAAAATTGGGATGTTACATCCAGGCACCACTCTTGCTCACAGTTCATCTGCTTAGTACAAACTTGCTTCCATCACCAGTTTAGTATGCTAGGCTGTGTACTACCTTAAATGACAGTGTTAAGATTCACCAGGCATCACACAGATCTTGCATATCAGAGCTCTCAAGTTGCCAAGGTCCAACCACCAGCTATTTTCAACACAGCACAGGGAAGCACAGAGTCAACACATTTCTTTCTGAAAGGAAGACTTTTTTCTATGCACAATTTTAAAAAAAAAGTCAAGTTTAATTAACAACAAAAAAAAATTCAAACTTTTGTTTTTCAAATGACTATCACCATAATAACCAACCTCCTCATAAACTTTCAAGAAATATCATCTTCAAAATACTATATGAAGTAGGAAAGTAATAACTTCAAGTGAGGAACTGAAAGCATATATCAGAGATAATATAGATTTCTTTTTGAAAATTACTTATGTATAAATACCCATAGCTTTTATACCACAAATAAAGCCTGCTGAATGACCTCTGTGGTACTGGTTTGTAGGTAGCTATTGTATGGAGTTGGATGACATGAACAGGATACAAGAGAGAAAGTATACACATAATTCTGAACACCAAGATGCTTTAGGCATTTGTCAGCATAGTGTATTTTTAAAAATATATTTACATTAAAAACAGATGACTTTTTGGTATTTGAGGGTTTTATTTTAACTTACCTTCCTATGATAAACAAGCCTACAGCCAAAGTAGCACCTTCCTGCAAACTACCCTGATTTTTGGTTGAATTTTTCTTTCACAGTACTTCCTTCAACGTTCTCTTATGCATTCCACAAACACTCTTCAGTCAAACACTAATAACTTTAAAGGAATGGTAAAGACAAACCAGCTTCAGACACATGTACCAATAAAGAGCTTTTCAAGGTAGGCCACGCTGCCTGCATTTGACAGTCTAAGACCTCCTCCTTAAAAAAGGAAACAAAACCAGAAACAAACCAATGCTGTCCAGACTAGAATGAGAGTTACACCTAGCACCACCCAGAGCAGAAGTTCCCAAACATCCATATCACTTCCTCAAAGTGGTACTGCAGAGCTAGGCAGTGGCTGCAATAGCACTTGCATTTCCTGATCAGCTGTTCAGAGCAGATCCATGGAGGATGAAGCGAGAAATGAGGTGTCCATGAGGTGTGCGCATGCCCAAGATCATCAGAAGGGAGGACCATTTGATGCAGGGGAGCTGGGGAAAAGATGGTTAGGAATAGGCACAGTAGATGTGTTAGAAAGGTGAAGGAGTAAGAAGGTTGTGCACAGCTGACTGTAGCACTGGAAGAAAATTGGAAGAAAATCAGAAGTGGGGAGAAACCTTTTGCATACAAAATTTTTGTTGGACTTACTGAGAAATAAGAGACTTGTACAATTCCTCTAAGACACTACATTCAAAAGGTCATTCTCATTCACGTGATTATTCCAGAACTGCAAAATAAAGTTATAAACCAACCATCAGGTACCCAAATGGAATAAGCTGGCATCCCTTCATATTTCTTCATAGGCAAACAGAAGTATCTGTATTAGACCACCTTGTTGCAGCAAAGCGTCAACTGTATACAAAATTCAGAGGAGGCATCACATTCTGGTAAGTGATTCTAACCCCTTTTGAAAACCTTAATCAAGTTGCTTTGAAATCTGACACTTCAATTTTAATCAGTATTAATATTCCAAACTGAAATATCTAGAAGATGTTCCTAAAATACAGCACCTAAAGAAAGAAACCCATACTGTTGCTTTTAGATTTGTCATTCAGTATTTATCAGACTCATTACTAGGCACCCACCCACTGAGGTCTTCATTAGAAGAGATGGTATACTTATGAAGTAGATCACAAGGATGTGGATGTCTTCTGGCTTGGTCCCAGTGTACCCCCAAATGCAAGATGAGGACTGTACCCCAAGTATTACAATATGCAAACATACAATAAAAATTGCAGAATTTATCATGTCCCCACACCCAGGACCTAGACAGCCCTCTATTAGTAAATACAGGCAGGCAACAGCCCTATTCTTGGGCTGTTCTCAGCCACCTCCCCAGCTGCTCTGTAAGTCAAAACAGCAATAAAATGAAGCTAAAATAATCTCCCACATTGCGTGGATGACAAGCACATTGCAACTGAAGAGTAGCACTAAGAAGAGGAACCTTATTAAAGATAGTCATTAACAGGTATTGCTTCAAGATACATTTGTTTCCAAGTGGTAACTTTATTCAGCTACAAACATCTCACCAACAGAAATGCGTCACTCCACAACACTGTAAGCTCCCAACACTCAAAAATCATGCCTTCCACCATAGGTTAAACTCAGATTCACCACCTCCATGCCCCTGCCCCTGCTGCCAGTCCTTACAAAGCATTCTTCTTAAACATCACTTTGTCATCTCCTCATTTCTGATCTAGTAACAATAGAACCAAGAAACAGGGAAAGAGAGCCATGTGTTGACACCTAAATGCAACTAAATGCAAGTAATTGCTTTGAGTAGCAGGCTTTTCAGAAGGGGTAGAAGTCTGAACAAAGGATGTGTTGAAAGCCCTTCACATTTCCCACAACAACGACCAATATGAGCCCTATTAGGATAGCATCGAAGCATCCCTACAAATGTTTATTGTCATTACACTATAGCTGAAAAAGTATTTTCAATATATTCAGATGAAGAATCAAGACACAGAAAAAGACATCCACAGGATAGATGCAGGGGTTCTGCCACCTAGTGGCATCTAGAGCCTCAAATTATTGTTTCTACCATATTATTATTACCACCTTTTTATTTTTTATTTTTTATTCTTTTTTAACTGGAAGCATTTGACAGCACAGAACAGAATAGAGAACAAATGGTTTCACTAGCATTGAAATTACCAAGCCTGAATCGCATTCTGTAGCGCCCAAGGTAATGAGAGTTTCAATTGAAGCTTTTCTAGCTGTTTGGATACTCATAGTATATTTCTCTTCATTCCTCCTGCAGATTCTCTGCTGCCTAGTATTGAAGTTGATGACATTTTGTACAGTCTCCCTCATAGTCAGCTGCCCATTTTCAGTACTTGCAATATTGTAACATCTTTGAGGTCCCTATCCATTTGTCATAACTGCTGGAATCTGATAAATCTCAAAAGTAGTCGTGGGCAGGAAACAGGGAAAGGCAGAGACTGAGAGACAAAAGCAGCAGAATAATAAAAGCCTCATTTCCTCACGACACTGTCTGCATCGCAGTTTGTCAATAAAGAATCTTTGTCAGCCCCAACAGCTTAAGAGATTCCCCTGCCCAGTTCACAGCATGGACCCACAGCATGTCATGTCAAAGCAACAGGAACACAGAGGAGCACAGAGGCAGGAACTCCTTAAGGCAAAGGGCTAGCAGAAACCATCCTTTTTGCCAGGCCATAAACTCAAAAGCCCCCTTTCCCACTTGGGATTCAAAGCCAGAAGCACTTTAATGCCTAAACTAGGTCAGTCTTTGTTTACACAACACACAAATGGGAAAGGAAGTATCACTCATTTAACTTAGTCAGGATCGGTCCAAACCACCGGACTACAAAGCAGAGAGCAACATACCGCATCTCTTTTTTTTTTTTGAGAAACAAAATCTTATCAAAGGCACAGTCAGAGAACGCACTTCACACAGACATAGCTAGATAACAAACAACTCTCTTCCACGCAAGACAGATATGCTTCGTCTGTGGGAGTTTTGACAACATAATTTGAAATGATCTCATAATCTTGCTAGCCTATACCCTCACAGATGCTTTAGATTCCAGCCCCCATTTGTCAACTTTTGTAACCCTGATAAGCCATGAGCACTTCTGGGCTACATCTACCACAAACAACAGATAGATTTGGATATTTTAGTTTCAGCCCAGAAAAAAACACCACAAAACAAAAACACCACCCCCCCCCCCAAAAAAAAACCCAAACCAAACATAAGCGAGATCACAAACATTATACAGCTGTAAGTACTATCCTTTTGACATCTTTCCTTCACCTTCTCAAGTTTTTTCCTCTGACTCCATAGCAATCCCTACAAAGTTCCTTGGCTGTAGCCTATGGCAATTTTCCCCCTCAATGGGTGGGGAAGAAGAGGGGAAAAAAAAAAAAAGGGAAGATCTGCCACAGGAGACCACAGGTGAACCAATACTGCAGAGTTAGCAATGATTCACAGATGTCTGCTGGACTTTTATCAGAAAACAAAAGGAGAAGGTTTCAGCAAGTTTCATTTCTTGCTCTGTATTCAAGATTTGAATTTCAGCTGTGTAAGCTATAGATGTAAAACAAGCCTGTAAGAACTACCACAGTGATGAAAAGAGGTGCACGTGTACCTTGATGTGAAACCATGTTTGATCACTCAGTGATGAGTTTTGTGAACTGCAACTGTAAAGACACACTAGATTTCTGCTAGAAAGCAAAGCTCTTTCCCTTGTCAACAAGCTAGCAGCTTTCACAGAAATAGTCCCTAGGATCAAGAAGGAAAACGGAGATTGTTGGAATAAGTGTGTTGGCAAACCAATACTTCACAAATGTAGGACTGTGAGTAAAAGCCAGACACAGATTGCCGCTGTCTGCAGCCTCCTGAACCAAACCAGGGATGGCTCAGCACAGAAAGCGTTAGGCTTTCTTACAGTGAACGTTCATGCTCTAGTCTACATGTAGAAAGCTACTCACATTACTGGAACATCATGGTATCATTCAAAAGAAGTTAGGGATGTGCTATAGTGAAGGTACATCTTTAGCTCAGTTTCCAGGTTTCACTTAAGTACTAACATGTGAAGTGAGATTAACAACTCTGTCAAAACTCAGCTGCAACCCAAGGAATTCACAGAGCACATTAGTTAACTATAGTCCCTTACATAGGGACAATCCTCATAAGGGACTGTTAATTAGAGGTTAACCAGAGTCCTCATTTATGCCTCATTTCAATAAATAGTGTGCTCAGACAGAATGGTACAGATGCCACTAGGTTGTTTTCAGGCAGGATGTGTATCATTCCTTTAGATGGTGCTAGCTCCCACAGACCTGGTTCAGGAATCTCAGTACCGCGCTACTGAGTTTTTAAAAGATTAAGGAAACACAATTTTTTATCTTGATAAAGTAAGAATAATTTTATATAGTAA